GGTTCTTTAATCCCTGAATATCAGCTATTAGAACTCAAAAGGAAATCATGTCCACTTTCCTGCTTCACCTGCTCCACCCCATGTAATAAGAAATGAGGATTTCACATTTCTCCAATCGCAGTATTTCAGCCTGAATCAGCATCTTCCATAACAAAAAAAAGAAACTGTAAGTAAGTTCTGAAAAGAGTAAAAAGAAATTTTTATTAAGGTGCTATTACTAATGAAAAACCTAAAGGAGTTATTAGTGCAGCTTTTTACACTTCTGAGTGTCTTCAAAACACTTTCTTAGTTCCCCCCAAAAAGGGAGACAATAGACATGCAAACTGAGCCAAAATGGATTTTGTTATCAACTGTCATCAGAAGTCATCACATAAATAGTAAACTTGCAAAAACCTTTTTTAGCCTTTTTACAGTTTTAAAAATACAGATTGCAATCTTACACATTTAAAGCAAATAAACAAAGAAATAAAACAAACCAAAAAAGAAGGATCAAATAGTTTAGCTATGCAAATCTATAGAATATATAGATTCTCAGGCACTGTATTTAGTTATTTAAGTATGAATTTAAATTTTCAAACTCTTACCTGGTTAATCAAGTCTCATCAAAGGTGTCCTTACGTCACACTTTTTAGAAAGAAAGTAAAGAAGATGCTATTTTAACTGCAGCAGGGTGAGTTCAGCTTTGCTGCCTCCATTAGAGTGTAGCAGGACTGCATTTGAGCTAACACATTTAAATCCTTCATTAGAAAGAAAATTCAATGTAGGAAAAGTAGCAGAATTAAATTTAATCCTATTGTTACAGATTACATTAAAAATGAGGCATAAATCACAGCCAAGGAGAAAAGGAAAGACTATGTGGGACAAATCTAGAGCTGTTTGAAGAGACTGACATATATTCCTTCAAAGTTTACTCCAGTGTCTTGGCATTTTGTGGGTACCACACAATAATGCAGTAATGGCCAAAGGCGCACAGTTACTCACTCTTAATTCACTGACTCCTGAGCTTTTCCAGCCACCTCTCCACACCAAGGTTTATGTATCATTCAGACCTCTAGCTCTGAAAAGCACCTTGGAAACACCTTTCTGTTCTTGCCATCTATGTCTTTACCTTACCTGGATTCCTTACCAGGAACAGGTCCTTGCCCTACCTAGACGCCTTCCCAGGAAAAAAGCAGCAAGACCTCTTACTCTGAGAAGAAAGTGAGGAACCTCACGGGCCCAGTTTGCATTCTGAGCTAACTGCATGGTCCACCACGGACATAAATTGGAAAGTCACTCCTTGGAGTAGTGAACAAGTTCATGGGATGGTTCAAGTCAGATTCATCTGTGGCTTCTGCCCTTTTTTGCAATGAGGAGATACTGGCACACATTTTCTTCATGTATGTCATGCTGCAGTCCCTCTGGCAACACTTCTCACCTCTTTATTTTTATCCTCCTTATCAAAGACCACACCAAGTCCTGGGACTTTCTCAGTAACATCCTTTAGATCTGGTCAAAACTGCAGTCCATGAACCCTGGAGAAACAAGCTCATCAGAGACCTGACTTTTAATTCCTTGTCTCATCACATCTTTAGGAAGTGCATCCCTGGCCTTCATACATCAGCCCTGTGGGCACTTTCAGGGTTTGTTGAGTGCTGTTGGGGTTGTTCTGCCCTATGGTGCCCTTAGTTCCTTTTATTTTGTTGTTTTGGATATTTTTGTCCTTCAGCCCCCTTCTATTTTTTCATTTGTCATCCACTGTAATTACTAGGTTTTCTCTTTCTGTAATCCACCTTCTCTTTTTTCCTTGGTTTTATAAACCAGAGAAATATTAACATTTCCAGACGTGATCTGGTTTCTCCACAATAGAAAAGAGTGGCCATGAGAGGCGCAGGTGCTGTCCCTACACATCTCCTGCATGGCAGTGAGAAGGGATGTCTGGCTCAGCAGCACAGCTCCTATGCTGCCTTCCCCACACCATAGCAGAGGGAGATCACAATCTGCTCTCACACCAACACCCTGCACCACCAGTGCATCATCTCTGCTGCCACCATCCCCACCACTACTGCTGACCTCCCATCCCTCTCTGCCCCAACACATGTGGGGCTGCATCTGGGCACCACTCCCTGGTCAGTCAGGCCATCAGGAGTTCAGGAATGGGAAGAACCAGCTTCTATTCCTGTGATGAGGGTGGGCAGCAACCTATGCTGTGTGCTCCTAATTTCAGTTTCCAAGTGTGCTCTAGGGAAGTCTGGGAAGAATTGTTAAAAATTACATATCATGTTTGTACACATACACAAAAAAAATCCAAACCCAAAACAAAACTCAAACCATCTCAGTACAAGATAATGAAGCTTCCAGTTAAAAGGTGCATGTTTGTCAGACAGAAAGCATTACTGATGCTGAAAGGGACTTCTGTGACAAAAATCCATACGAAATAAAGAAACTTTATAAAATATATATATGCAATTAGTACTATTTTTTCTTCCTTAAATCTTCAGTTTGTTGGTAACAGTCATTCAGAGTTTATAGCTTCTGTAGCTGCTTTTGTTAAATGTATCAACATACATGTGAACCATCATGCAGAATTTCCACAAAAGCAATAAGTGCTAATTAGACTGTGGAAACCAAGACAACTTTCCTTATCCTACTTCACGCAGGCATGTTGCAAAGAATTCTAAATATTCCTAAATCTGTTCCTTAGTGGAATCAAAGTCTGGCATTCCATACAGTCCCATGGCAACAGGGAATAAAAAGCAGGAAAGGCTTTAATTACCATATATTAAAATGTACTTTGAGCATTATCTGTGAAAGAGACAGAGAAGACATTGTGTATCAGACCAAATATGTACTGGATTATAATGGAGCCCATGTAGTGACATCACTGCACACAAACATATTATGCTAGATTCACTTATCTGGAGAAAACACTGCACCCAGCCAGGCCTCACCACCTCAGCACCTCTTGGGTGCAGGATGCTGCCACCACTCCTGATCTGCCTGCATAATTACCCATAACTGATCTAGTCAAGACGACACATGTTAGGATCAGGCTACAGATTAGTGTGACACAAACCCCTCCACACCAGTGGACCCTCTAGTTCAACACAAGTGTCGTACAAAAAAAAGTAGATGCGATTCCAACTCGAACTCCACCGACAGTTTAGCCAGCTTCACTCAGCGATATCTTGGGCCCCTAGGAGACTCGTCTCTGAAGTCAGTGGTTGATCTTCTGACTGGAAAATAAATGCTTTTTTTCTCAGTAACCAAAAATAAAATTGCAGAGTTTAAAGAAACAGAGTTGTTTAATTCCTAGTAAAAACCATTTCTGACATTGGTATATACTGCAGACTCCAAAATGCTAAAGGAATGTATTTATTATGAGCTTATATGATCTCAGTACACAAACTGAAGCTGTTTTCTGGTATGTGCAATTCTAAATGCTTTCAGTGTAAACAGATTAAGCATTATTACTTCTTGAATCTTTACTGATATTAAAGGAAGGATACAAAATTATATGGAAAGATCAAACAATGAGTGCTCCAAATCCATATAAAAAGCAAATGAATGAATCCTTAAATCACTGGCATTCTCTCACATCACATTTCACTGGGAGACGATCTCCACTTCAAGCAACTTCTTCCCTTTTCAAATAAGATACCACAATAATAATTTTAAGCAGTGGAAATAGAGCAGAAAGAGCACTGCAGGGTTTCCTTGGCTCTTTAAGGACAGATTTTGACATATCTTTAACTGATTTAATCAGAGTGTTACAGGTGTTCACTTTAAGGTATGTTTTGCAAGCTATCATTAAAAAAATATAACCAATTTTCATAAGTTATGAAGTCTTTAAAGACAAGTGTGTTCAGTCCTGATTCAAATACAGCTGAAATTTATGTCTGCTGAAGACTATCCTCAGGTGTAATCAAACAATTTACTGAATTAAAAAAAAAAAATTACAAGACCCTATTAAAAAAAGGATTAAAAGTTTTAAAGAAACATTACTATAATTGTGAAGATATATCACTAAACTCAAGACTTCACATTATGCACCAATATAATGCAGTGGCTCAGTTTAAAACTCAACAAAATAAAATGGGATAATTTCTATGGAGAAAGAATTAAATATTTTCATTTCTGACTTAAAAAAACCCTGCTTAGATAACAGAAGAAAGACAATTTCATTTAATTCAAGGTTGCAATTACACTGCAAGATTTTGTCTTTCAGAGCCTGAAGCACAGTCCAACAGGCACTCAGTTGTTATGAATTCCTTAAGTACCCCTTCACAGTAATTGGAAGGAAAAATTGGGGATCCAGCTCTTTGTTTCTTCCTAATTTGACAAGTACTGAAGACGAAAGTGTTACTTTCTATTTGTTTTGGGGTATTTTTTTTCCACTTTTCTAAAAGTTCAGAAGACAAAAAGAATAGTTTGAACAAAAGTTTAAGACTGACAATTACAACAGAACAGTTTGGTGCCTCTGAATTCCCAGAAGCCAAGCTAGTTCTGGCATTCACCTCTGGTAACCTGCTCTTCTACTAAGGCACAGATACACATACACCCACTCATACATACACTTTCTCATCAGAAAGAAACAAATTGATTAAAAGTACCTCTGTGCTTGACTTGGTTTAAGTTGCTCACTGCCTGTTAGCATAACACTGTGACTTGGCAAGGGTCATATCTGGCATCTAAAACCTTCCTCAAATGAATAAGATATGGCCTGTTACAGGCCCATCCCAGAGGTGCAGAAGACAGGGCTAAACCCAGTTTTTGCAGCAGACACCCTGGAAGCTGAAGGCCCAGGCACACCCATTTCCAGATACCTTTTAACTCCAGCTCATACCAGACTTGCCATCGTCAGTGAGGAAAGAAGGAGCACAAGCACCTCACAAGCTGGAATGAGGGGACTGCAAACCAGGGACACCTTATCCAGAGGGGCACTTCACCTTTCATGCTAGCTCCGGCCAGCCTTTGCCCAACCTGCAGAGAGCTGAGAACTGGTAGCCCAGCTTTCCTACCTGTCAGCACTGAGGGCAGTGAGAGTGAAGACAGAGACACCAACGGAGGTGAGCTGGATGACAGGGATGAGCTTGCAGCCCAGCTCCCCAAAGAGCCACTCCTCAGAGAAATACCGGGAGGCATCCACGGGGACACAGGTCACTAGCAGCAGCAGATCACCAGCTGCAAGGCTGGAGATGAAGATGTTGGGCACACTTCTCATGGCACTGTTGGAAATGAAGATCTTCATAAGCGTGATGTTGCCCAGCAAGCCGACAGTGATGATGAGGAGGTAAAGCGATGGGATCACACAACGGATGATGAACATGGCCGTGCCCTTCTCTGGGGGCAGCAGGGCTGTGTCGGGCACCAGGTGGGCACTCCCATTCTCCCCAAGGGGCATTGGTGTGAGCTCGGGCGAGAGCTCTGGCTCCATCCTCCAGCTTCGGGTGGACTGAGGGTCTCTAGAGCAAAGTGCAGTGGGAGCCACTGAAAAGCTTTACTTTTCTGCAAGTCAACCAACTTTCTCCCCCCTTCCCTACTGCCTTTCTTCCTTTCCCTTCTTTGACGAGTTTTTTCCCTTCAGAAATGCAGAAGAATGTCCAACGGTGCAGTGGCGGGGGAGGGAAATAAAAATTCCCATGCTCTGCCCCTCGGCTTTTCGCACAAGCCTGTCCCGATGGGCAGGTGGGCAAGAGATCCTGAGCCTCGCGGGCAACGAACGCCGTCAGGACAGCGGCTGCCTACCCTCGTCCCCGGGAGAGCCCTCGGATGCTCGCTCCGGCCACCTCCCCGCGCCCGCAGCGGCCCCGGGGCCGCCAGCGCTGTCCAGCGGCGCCGGCGCTGCTCGGCCCGCAGCTGCGGGCGGCGGCGCCGGAGGCGGGGGCGAGGCGCAGAGCAAGCTCCCTCCTTACTCCGCAGCCCCGGTTTATACCTGGTACCGGGAGGGGCCGCCCCGCCTCTCCTCCTGCAGGCGCCTGTGCCCTCGCCCCAGCCCCGAGCCGCCGAGGTGGATCTTGCGCGAAACGGAGAGGCGGATCCCGGAGCCGACGCCGTCCCGCGGGGTCCCAGCCCCTGAGCGCGATGGAGACGACGGGAGGAGCGGGAGGGGCGAGGGGAGCCTCACTCCCCGCCGCTGCCCTCTGCAAGCAGTCCCCGAGAGGCGCTCTCCGGAGGACTGTCCGCCACGTCGGGCAGAACGCGGGATCGCCTCCGGAAACCAGTCTTCCAGCATTTTACCCAGGTGAAACCAGGGCGCATTGAAACGCAGGGTGACGGGGAGCGAGGGACTTTTGGAAATAAAGAGATTTTATTCCTGACATCCAGCTGTGGGTTCTGCATAGATTTTACTCAAAGGCATCAGCTGAGTTTAAAGTTTTAGGGTTTGATTCACGAAGTTGCATTTCATAGTGGTCTCGACATGGAAAGGGAGACAGGTATTGTCTTTTATCTGTGACTTACTATGCAAATGGTATAACACAGTGGAGAATGAATGTTGTTTGCCTCTTTGAAGAGTAGCATTTGTCCCTAGTGTTTCTCGCTTTTCAGTGAGGTAATGTCTTTTACTTCCTAGTGTCTGCACGTGTGTAGGCTTTCCAAACAGTTCCATCTGTTTCCAGCAGAAGCCATGAATGTACATAGCTGGAAGACGGGCAGACCTACTGAACTGAAGTTTTCAAGACAAAGTACTAACACAGAGGAATAACAGCATTAGCCATTAACGTGCTCTGCAGATTTATTCCTTTATTTCTTTTTCTCAAAAGGGAGGATGTATGAGCTTGTAGCAAACTTGCTTATTCATGTTATTAAAAGAGTTCTCTTGAAGCTCTGTGAGTTTATGACAGGTGTATGGAGGAGAGTATGTCCACTCAAATATCAGAAGAAAAGCATGTCCCATGTGCAGTGATACATAGTCTGTCCATGGCATGCTGTCCAGTGTAGGAATTAAATCAGAGATTTCTCTTAAATAAATTTTTACTAAGATTATCAAACAAAAAGCATTAATGTTTCTTAAAAGTTACACCTCTCTGTATCAATTGATTGATCGTTGTGATTCTTCTCACATCCCTGAAGATACAAATGTGTTAAAGTTGTGTAAATTACCGATTCATATAATGCTGAATAATTTGTTAGAGACCCAGCCAGTGCTTCGCCTCAGAAAAGATCAGGCTAGAGACTTCACCTTTACCACTAGGCAGCTCATTGGAATTGTCACAGAGCTCCTCTGGAAGTGATTCTTGTTACTGATCAAGTTTCCTCCACACACTGTTAAATGCATCTACACTTCCTCCGAGGCAGCCTTACTGATGGCTTAGATATTTATCTAAATTGCTGTGACCCTCTACTTTGCTGAGCATACATGAAATTTTCCAAGATCATCGATATTCAGGTCTCTGCTAACACTCTGAATCAGTCTTTTTGGTTCCCATTGCGGGATCTAATATATGTCTTTAACACTGTGAGCTAAATTTTAACGCTGAGAGTATGATCCTTTTGCTAATTTATTTGAAAATGGGTTTATATATGAACAATCAATATGCTTCCCATTGGGAGAACAGTTTAAATTCAACATATATTTAATATTAATTTATTTGGGACAAGAGGAAGTTGAGTCTTTTCGCATGAATATCATGAGAAGAACACTTTAAAAGCTTCTATTGGCAGAAGCTTATTGCAGTTTGAGTGGAGAGAAGTGAGACTGCTTGCTTTTGTTGCACAATATTACCACTCCTAGTGCTGCCTTCCAGGAGAATTTCTTCTATCCTAATAAATTTTATCTGTCCTTTAGTCCACAGTAATTCCTAAGGTTAAGGAATTAGAAACATTTTCAGTGTGAATTTATGTTCTTGATTTTTATCGGTACTTGATTTTATCTACTCTATGTTTTTCAGAACTCTGAACAGCAAGGAAATAAGCTTTGGAGAGAGTGAGTGACTCCAGCTCAGAGAAAACAAAAATTTAGATTATGCTTCTAGTGTTGTTCAACAGATGTCTGTGTAAAGACAAGGGAATACACTCAAACAGTATGAATATAATTTCCCACAGAGGCAAAAAGGTACTGGGGGGAAGATCCACAGACCCTGACATAAACCAGTCGGAATTCAGATCTTCACATAAACTGTTCTTCATTCTCTTTTCAAACAAAATTAGTACGCCCCCGTCTTTGGATCTTATTTCAGATTACAGCCCTGAGACAATCTCATCATGCAGCTGTGACACAGCACTTGGCACAAGAGGAAGGGAGAGAGTGCCACAGGTAAGTGTCCTTAGTGTGAAAGAAGGCACAGGCACAATCAGCCAGCACAGATGGAGTGTATCTGGGAATGCAACACCATAGGGCAGGAACCACAAACGTGAGAGGCAAATACTCTTCATCAGTAATTCCCAAATGCAGGGACTCATAATCAGTTCATGTAGGAATGAGGAACTCCGCACACCTCACAAACGCCCTCTACTGAGAAGTTGTTCTGACAGAGAAAAATACTTCTTTCCCACGTTTGTGCTGCTCAAGGCACTTGATAATTCCAGGGCTAATTCCAGATTTGCACATCACAACAAGCTTTGTGTAGTCCCATGAAAATTCAAGCATATCTGCCACCAAAACTACCTGCAGTAAGAAGACTTTATTCAGTATGTGTGCTTGCACATTAAATGAAAACTGGGTTCAAATGCAGCCCTGGAAGTGATCATGTTTGAAAGCCTGATCATCAGTCACACATTAAAAAGAAACATGGCAACAACCAAGGAAGAAATAGTATTTGATTTTAAACACTGAGCATCGGGAACCAAGCCTTTCAATAAATTTTGTAGTATCACACATTAGACCAGCAGACACAGCTGGAAAAAGTGGGCATGCATTGTAACAGAGAGTGACTTCTTCCAGACAGTCAAATGTACAATAACCTTAAGTAACTCCTGTTTTCTTTCTTGTTATCTCTCAATAGAGGCTTTCTTATTTTGATGGAGGGTTTTTTTGGCAGAGATTTTCATTTCAGCTTCTTGAGTTAGGGGCTCTATTTAAAGGACAAGAGGCTACTGAAATAGATCATTTCCCCAGGTTTCAGAATACATAACAGGGTTTGCAACTGTTCCTATGTGGGTAGCTAGAAGTGGGTCCAAGAAGCAGCTGGGAAGAGTAGGCAGAGTCGAAGAAAGGCAGGGAAGGAGACAAGGTCTCTCTAGCTCAGTTTGAAATACTCCATGTTTGGAGTCAAGGAGGACAACTGTTCAGTTTCTAAGATCACATCTCTAAGGCCAGACCTCAAACTCTAAGGTTAGACATTCAAACGTCAAACCTCTACAATTCTTTTACTAGTAAAATAGCACTGGAAGTTAAACATCTCATAGGCATTGCCAGTGCACTCCCTGGGAGAAGCTGATATGAGAAGAATTATTCTAAAGATAAGAATTATTGTGGATTTGTGTGGAGAATGTCACAAATAGCATAAGCTAGAAAACTAAATATGTTTAAAAGAGAAACACTAAGTTCAACTATGGCTGCTCAGGGATAAGCTAACTAACATAAAATATGTCTGATATGTGCCATGTAGTCCTTTCCTCTTCAAGACTCCAGGGAACAGAAGAAATACCTACATTCTGTGGTTAATGCTGGGCTCCGTCTAACACCAGTACTATATCCCTGGAGCACAGGGCTACAAGCAGAAGTTTGTGGCCTCTCAAGCCTGGAAAGCTCCAACAAACACCAATATAGAAATTCTTCCTGTTAAGTCTGTATGGCTAGCCAAACCATGTGTAGAAAAGAATACTAGTGATTCATCATGTGTATTTCTTAATTTTTTTAGATTAAATTGACTTTGAATTAATTTTTTTAAAAAAAGTGGGGAAGAAACTGTATTTATGACACATCTTCCCATATTGCGTGGCATGGCTGAGCCATAGAATCATAGAATTCTCCTGATATCCAACTTAAATTTCCCCTGGCAGAGCTTAAACCCGTGTCCCCTTGTCCTATTGCATATCCCTGTCCAATAAACCTAGACACTAGTCCATCCCTCTCAGCTCTCAGACTTTACATCCTGCCTCCTATTTTTTGTGCCACATATAAATCAGCAGTGAGGAGGATCTGAGGAAGTCACCTGATTCCTAAGACTCCTGGCCTAGCGGAAGGTGAAGCAACCTCCATCTCAGGTCCAAACTGAAGTACAGGCACCAGTCTGCAACTGATAGAGGCTTCCACTGGACCTAAGCTTCAACACAGGGAACTCTGCAAAGCAAAATGGACATTCAGGTGCTTCCAACATTAGACAAAGCTGGAAAGCTGTCAGAAACAGCTGTTCTCTGATATTTAGCATGCTACCTCTCTTTTTGCAGAAAAAAACTTATTTTATTGATACCAATTCAATTCTTTGTGCCATTTTCACGGTGCTGTTTCTTTCATGGCACAAGGGTAATAGGGGTCACTACATTTAACAATTCTATTAAAGCAATGAATTGGATGCTTAATGTTAAACACACAGCTCATCCCTCCAAGCACAACTGCAGCTTTATGCATGCGTTTAGATTCCATTTGTTTTACTGTGATTATTCAGTAGGACTCCAACTCATTAAAAGGTTAAAGAGCACATAGCTGAGTTGCCAACTTGAGTCGAAAGACAGGCTTAGGACTGACTTGGAAACAAGTGTGATATCAACATCTTC